ATTTATGAAAATTCATGAAACCTATCAGCTCTTGGCATAAAATAATTTGATCCTACATCTTTCTGTCTTTATAGCTAGTATTTTCAAACTGGCTGACATTTTTTCTTTAAAATATGTATTTAGCTTTTGAAAGGCAGAGTTACAGAAGAAAGAAGAGAGAGATCATTTGCTCATTCACTCCCCAGATAGCAGCAATAATTAGAGCTGGGTCAGTCTGAAGCCAGGAGCCCGGCCCGGGACTTATTGCAGGATCCAGTTGGGGTGCAGGGACCCCAGCACATGAGCGAGCCTTCCTCTGCTGCTTTTATTAACTTAAATAGTGAAAGAGTTTATTCTGATAATGTTTGCCTACTTAAAATTCAAAGGGTTTCAGAGGGAATAAGACCTCTGATGACAGCATAAGGGATACTCCATGGAAATCTTGCCAGGGTACTGAGAATATGAACTTCTACTGTGGATGGCAAGACAAGGCCAAAGTGGCCCCATTCTACAAGCATGACTGCAGAGCGTGAGCATATTCAAGTAAATTCATATGAAACTTCAGTGATCTCATGGACAGACTTGGAGGAATCTCTTCTTAGAAAAGTTGAATAGAATATACAGAAATGGCAAAGTATTCTTAGGAAAACCTTATGGCTGCTAAAATAGATAGATGGGAAGATGACAGGAAAATGTGTTATTTTATGAGCTTCAGTACATGAAGCTGCCTTCTGCCACACTATTTATGTCTGGAAATATTTTAAATAGCAAAAGCAGAAACTCGGGGATCACGTGCTTGTTACATGCTCGTTGAGACTTTTAGAAAGCTGGGTTCACTTGCTAGTAGGAACCGCTGACTCTGCCATGCGTATATTCAGTACACACGTCATGTAAGATTGTGAGTGAGAGTGGAGCATTCACAAGCTCTGTGTGATGACTGGCTGACTTAGAGACTTTGCTAGAGCTTTGGTTTTCTCATTTGCTTAAAGGGAAAGTACAAACCTGTAAAGCATCGAGTAATACATGTAAAAGGACTTGGACAAACTCTTCAATTGGAGCAAGCCTTTAGTTAGCATTGGTCTCTCTTCAGTATGTGAGATGCCATTGATTACTAGTCATTAGCCATACCAGTGCTGTTGTGTGTGGTCCTCCATGCGGTGGTTCTTTCTGTTCTCATGGTCCCCTCTGCTTTGCCACAGAGTGTCAGCTGTAACTCAGCGTAGTATGATTTAGTTTAACCATCAACCAACGTGACTTATGCAGGACCTGGATGCAAACATTAGAAGTATGCCCACAGTTATAAAGGAAGAAATTCCTCTGGCTTGAGTTATGAAAATATTCACTGAATCCGCCATGGGCCCTCTGTGTTACTCTGCAAGGTCCTGCTGTCCTAGAGCCTTTCTACCTGCAGCTGCCCGTGCATTAATGTGTGGGACACATTAAAGCAGTATTTATTTAATTATTATGCATTGCACAGTTTGGTAAGTATAGGGCTGCCCCCTTGAATCCCTTCCTGCCTCTCCCTTTTCCCCTCCCTAATGTCCTTTGTGTTTCACAATAATATAGCCTTTCAGCTGTAGTCTTGACTGTAGCGTTTTGCTCTTTGCCATGTGTCATGGCATTGTAGGTGTACACTTGCAGTCTCACAAATGAACGATGAGATGGAGACAAGAGTGCCAGGAATCAAAGAAAAACTGCAATATACATCTCTACTCCTGAAACAAAAGTAGCCCCCCAATAAAACATAAATGTACCATGACAAAAAATAAAGCGTTATTAGTAATGTACACTTTAATGATTTCAGCAAAATGTGGTACCATTCTTAATTTGTCCTAATAAGTTGACAGGTTCACATTTCCATCATCTTGTCCTCTTTAGTGAGTTTTAACTTTTTTTCTTCTGAATTATGCATACTGGAGTGGTCTCAGTTTTTTTTTCTCTTAGAATAATAGAAGGGGGATTGAAATATCACTACAACTTAGTGTGTAGTGAATACTTGATCAACGCAGTATTCATTTAACATTTCATGTGTAATGAATTCTGTTTCCCAAGTAGCCAGTTTCCTGTGATTCATGTTTTAGATTTTTCTTCTTGTAAAGGCAGGATAAGTTTTATTGCTGTTTGTTCTTATAACTTCCAACTTTCAATTCCCATACTTGGTGTTGCAATAACAACACAGGACTGTTGAAGGGACAGTGGTCCGTGTGTGTGTGTCTTATCCAGTAGGCTCTGGGGAACCCATGTTGTATCTTACTTGTCTTTGCTGTCTTCTTCCATGGCTGTACCTGGAACATTTGATCAAATCCTAATAAACCATAAATAAGTTATTCTGTGAAGATTTGTTGATACTCAACTTTTTGTATTGCTCAAATAGCTGGAAACGTTTTGGAGGCTATATTTGTTATGTTTGGGTCTTAATTGTCATGCACACACTTATAATTGGAGTGTATGCTTGTACCTTTTCCTAACACTGATTTTCTTAATCTTCTTTAATATGATGTCTAATTTCAATAGCTTATGGATTAACACGAGGATTATCTATTTTCTCTAATTAATAAAAGTATTTAAAGAAGAGCCCTTTGGGGTGATTTAACCTAACTACTCTTCCCATTCTAGGATTGTCTATGTTATGTTTTTATCTGCCACCACCCAGATGTCTCCCAGTTCTGGTTAGTCATCACATTATTGGTGTAGGATTGCTAGCTGTGTACGCATTTTCCGAGAACAGCTGAAGCACAGTTGGTGGGGTGGGGTGTACTCCATCCTGATAGCTCTATAGAGAAGCTAATCTCAGGGCATGAGTGAATACTTGCTGTGCACCTGCAGTGGGGGGCAGCATCTGGGGAAGTCGTCAGGAAGGACTGCAGAGAGTACAAGTGGAGATTCTTACACAATAGAGAGAAGGGGTTTTCTGATAGAAGAGTTAAGGATGAAGGACGTAGTTGGGGAAGACCCTGCTCAGTGTGGAGAAGGTTTCTGGTGGCTGCTTTTGAACTCAGGGCTATGGAGTGATGATGCCTGGACTCCTGACTGGATTCAGTGGTACCTGGGGCCAGGACATCATGCACCGATATTTTTTATTTTCAGTTGGACAGAGAATGTTCTGTCCCAGCATCGCGCTTATGCATATTGGTTTGTAGTCAAGATCCCCAGAGTGGAGTGGTTAAAACATGGACTTTGGAATCAAAGCATCGGAGCTCAAATCCTAACTCTGCATCTAACGGTGCTGTGATCTTGGCCATTCATCAATATTCAGACATTAGTGGCAATTCCTTCATTAAAGTTGCTGCAAAAGTTGAATTAGATGGTACTTTACAATGCATAGGGCAGCTGCTGGCACATAGTGGGTGTTAGATGTTTGTGACATTAAAATGTTCACTGTGTTCAGTCAGTCATTCTGGTAAGCAAGCAGCTGATAGACCGCCAAAGATAAGTTACTGTCTTCAATGCCAGACCATTTCTTTTCTACAGTCCGTTTATTTTTGAAAGTAAGTTTGTTATGTGGTCTGCCTCTCTCTGTGTGTGTATGGATGTGTGTGTATAAAGTCTTTGAAAGCAAGATGGCTTTCTCTTTCCTTCTGAACTAAAGGAGTATGGGCTTTCTTAGAAATTGCAAGCTTTAGAATTCAGATACTGTGGGTATTCAATACTGTGGGTATTGAAAGTGAGCAGTGACCCTGGAAAATGCTGGTAATGGCATTAACCCAAATGTTTCCATCAGCTAAATGTAAAAATGGAGAAAATGAGAAATCTAGAGTGATATAGGCTTCCCAAGGCTTAAGCCAGTTACTTCATTAAGACTAACAGAGCAGACATTTATTTTCTTTGTTTAGGTTTTGGGAATAATGATCCCAGGCCTTCACTGTCCCCATGCATATTGTTACATACAAAAATTTGGAGGTCTTACTGTCTTTTCAAGATATGCCCTCTATGTGTTTTTTTTTTTTTTCCACAATCCCTAGTTGTTTGAAATATTCTGGAAAGGCATGCATCCTAAGGCTCACGGACTTCCCGGAGTTCAGTCTGCATATTCTGGTGCATCTTCATTCAATCAACATTTCACACTTCATTCACAATTTCCCTGAAACCACCTTTGGGTGTTGGCTGATTGTATGGACTAGAGTGTTGGCATCACTAAAAAGTAATATTTGTTTTTATTTTTGATATAGGGGATCAGTTTTTAACATGTGTGTATTTGCTAGTAAATTGATTAAAATATTCTCTTTTCATGATCAGAATATTGGGAAGTATGATGAAACACTCTGTTACAATAGAAATATTTAATACATTCCAATACGAAACTAAACCAGAAAGGGCATTAGTCATTTTTAAAGTTATTTTTTGTAAAACTGTTGCTCTCAAATTCTTCTCTGCTCTTGTCCATTTCTCTCAAAGATGGGTCAGCTCTTTAATCAACGCAGGACCTGTTGGACTTGAGGCAACAGCGTTCTCTATGGGCATATGTGTAAAAAGTTTATTAATTGAATATGTATTAATTGATTAATTGGATGGTGTGACTTTTCATGATTTCACATCATTTTAGTTTTCCTATGTTTTCCATTCCTTAAAGCATGTTAATGAATGAACTCAAGACCACCATGTTTATGTCATTTCCGTAGAGTTAAACTTGCGCATGGTTACATAAATGTGTTAAACACTTTATGATATTATGGAGATGTTTTTTCCTCAAGCATCATTTTAGAGCTGAAGATTTAAAAATATTGTGAAGAATTGGTTTCTTACACTTTGGTTAATTTATGGAGTATACATTGAGTTAAGGGTCTCCCGGCTGAGGTGATGTCGTTCATGGTTGAGACAATGGGTTGTTTGAAAATTCTTGGATTGCATGTTAATGACTGGGGCGACTACATACTAATATTGCAGATGCTGTTTAAATAATTTGGTCGGAAATTTGGTGATGGATACTCATTTTCAGTAAAGGCGTGTAATTGGCAGACTGTATTTTGAAATTGGTCCTTATCTGTGCTCTGTTTTTAACTTCTGCCTTCCTGTTTTTCCAGCTGTTTTTGTTTCAGTTGCTGCGAGGGCTGTCTTATATCCACCAGCGTTATATTTTGCACAGAGACCTGAAACCGCAGAACCTGCTCATCAGTGACACGGGGGAGTTAAAGCTGGCAGATTTCGGTAGGAAAGCAGTTAATTACCAGTCTGTTTTGTCGAGCTGTGAGAATGCCAGGCAGATGGTGGCCCTTAGTTTATTTAGGTGTGCTTCTTCTGTCATCATAGATCATGGCAAAAAATTTTTCTGGAATGAAAGAATTTTCTTCTTATTTATGATAATCTTCAAACATAATGCTTGGTCAATTTTTATAAAATTTAGGCTGAGAGACATGAGTATTCATAAGCCTAAACCAGATCCCATTAATGAATATTTTTAAAGGGAAAATCTGAAAAACGTTGAGCAGAAAATAAACTGATGGAGACTTTTTTTTAATTTGCTATGAGCCTGTGAAACATACTCCAAAGAAGAAAGAGATTATAACAAATTCACCTTACCCTTTACCAGCTTCGGTAATTATTGATATTTTACCAAACTTGAAGAAAAGGCATTTAAAACTCTGGGTCATTTCAAAGCATCACAAGGTTGTTCCATGACGTAAGGTGCCCTAAACCTGTTGGTATGTTTGCAGTCTGGAGGAGTGCTCACCTTTCCAGAAGCGATTATTGTTTCAGGCTTGTTCAATAACATTGTAAAAGTAGACATTTATTTTTATTTAAAATACGTGTCCTGGAGTGGGCCCGTTTTGGACATTCCTTCCTAGAAGTTTGAAATTGAGGTGTCGACTTACGGGAGCCACTGCACGGTGTCCTGACTGCATGGACAGAGCGCACGTGGTCCCCAGCGCCCCTGGAGGCAGCCCCACGTGTTGACATTGCATTGCATTGCCTCTGTTATTTTTTAATAAATATTCTGATTAGGAATTTGTTCTATTAAGGACAGAATGAAAAATTACCCTGGGGACTTAACCATGCCTGAGGTTGTGATGTGACTTTTGCTAAAATATGATTACCTTTCCCCAGCCAGTCTCACCTCTCTCCTTAAACACATTTAAGGGACAGGAAATGATTAGTTCTTATTTCAAGGTGAGTGGGCTGTTGAGTGCCTTTGAAATGAGTCTATGTTTGGGTTTTATTTATTCTACTGAAAGTGAGATAAAAGTTAGTATGGCAAGTGATAGTTCGTGAAATGTTGTCATTTGACCTTATCTACTTTGGAAACAATGATGAAACTTGGTGCTTTTGGGGGGGGGTGTGTGTTGTAGTTATTTATTGTTATATTTGGCATAAGAATTAGTGTAGATGGCAAGATAGAAAAATCTTTGTGTTATGTGGTAGAGTATACTCCAAGGATAAGATAGGTGGAGGAGGGAAGGTTTCAGGGTCCTCCAATTCAATTTTATTCGCTTTATTGTGAACATGTTGTATAGTTTGTCATTATCAGTAAATTAAAAAGGATTTAGATTAATTTTCCTATGGAATATTAATATACTATGAAAGATACTTATTGTAATATGTGCTTAGACTGTACGTGGATCATTTGTGTGTTTTTAAAGTACTTTTAAATTAATTTTCTTGAGTTGTGTACCAAAGATAGAACACCCTGTGTGCATGTGCCTCCTGGGGTTTATTTAATTGTATGACATCTGTTTGTAACGGGTAAGGTTGTCTTAAAATGTTCTATCGGTCTTTACAACTGAAATTTTATGATATCCAACTAAATACAACATTTAGATACTTCAGTAAGTTTTAGATTACTCAAAGATGACAAATGTTGACATCTTTGTATGTTTTCCCAATGTGCTTCTCCTTCTCCAACTTTTTTCTCATTTCTTCCTTCATGTGCTTATTACACAGCCTCATAAAAACCAGTGTTCCTTTAAGGGTGTGTCATGAATACTTTCTTTTGTTAGCTTTAGCATCTTACGTTTTTCCAATCATAGCAAAAACTTGGTGCCTGTTCAGTGTCCCATCAATGAGTATGTTGGTCTTTCTAGTTATTTGTTATACAGAGCCCTGTGTAAACCTCTTGGTGAAACACCTCTATGTTGTGATTGTTTTTCTTTTTTGATATTATTTTTATTGGAAAGTCAGATATACACAGAGGAAAACCTTCTGTTCAGTGATTTCTCCCCAAGTGGCTGCAACAGCTGGAGCTGCACTGATCCAAAACCAGGAGCCTGGAGCCTCTTGCAGGTCTCTCACATGGGTGCAGGATCCCAAGGCTTTGGGCCATCTTAGACTGCCTTCTCAGGCCACAAGCAGGGAGCTGGATGTGCCCATGTGGGATCCTGGTGTGTGCAAGGCGAGGACTTTAGGTGGGCCCTGTGATTGTGTTTCAGAGCTCTGTGACTCCTCACAGCTGGCTGTTGTGTTCAGGAGTTATGCCTGTGATCCGCCTGCCCAGTCCTTGGCCTTGAGGACTGCTTCCTCCAGCTTGGAATGTGCACTTGGCACACGCCCAGTGTAATGAGGGAGACTTCTTCACCAACTGACATTTACTGTGTTTGGGCACGTGTGCTGTCTGAGAGGAGAGAAACACCCTGGAAGCCACAGGGAAGCTGAATAGCCAAGCTGAGATGGGCCTGGTCAGTAGAGCAATTAGCAACATACTTCGAGGTGTATGGAGTTTTCTAACCAGTTTCTTCTGTCTTGGCTTTATTCTCTTTATTTGAGCAGTATGTGGTTTTGATTATAAGAGACAAATGTGTCTGTATGATTTTCCCTCTCATTCTAAATGCAGCCATTTTTGTTAGAAAAATACATTCTAGGAGCAAAATTCCTGCAGTTTGTGGAGCTCTTCTGTGTGTTGGACAGAAATTCTGGCTTCATTGTCCTGTGAAGCACATCAGGTGTGTTTACTTGGTTTTTGAGAGATACCTCAGATTCAGGGAGGGAGTGACATTTATCCCGGGTTGGCCACAGGTACAAGTTGCAAAGACAGAATCCAGGTGTTTATCTAGATCCTTGAGTAAGGAGTTTTGCTTTATAAGGCTGCCTTGCCTTCAAGCACAGTATTAATTGCCATGTTCTGATGCATGCTACTTTATATATAGCAAATAGGATAGTGATGCCCTATAAGTAGAAGATACATTAGTACAAAAATGCCTCCCTTCGTTTAGAGGAAATTTAGTAACTTATTTCAAAAGTTAATGAATAAGTTCAACATTAGTACTTTGCATATTCTCTCTGCTTCATAAGGTGAAACCAGGTTTTATGTATGTTTTTAGAGACCCTTTAAGTCTTAATCGGGGTGTCGTTCTGAATTCCAGGTGTTCAAATGGTTCGACTGTTTCTTATCAAACACCAGAACTTACTTCCCGTGTGTATGTTGAATAAGTTATATTTGATTTTTTTCATCCCTACAGATTTTTTTTAATGCATAAGCTTCTTGTGGTTTTCTGTTTTGGTTTATGTTTTTGTCATGTAAAGAGGCTGTTGCTGTGGTGTGGCATGTTAAACAGATGCTTGCAGCATCCTTTCTGGAAACTGCTGTTCCCTAAGCAAGCTTTTCAGTGGCCTCGTCCAGTGTTTGCCTTTGCTTCTTGTTGTAGTTCCCAAACTGTTTCCACATCAGAACTTTCGCCCTACATTTCCCTTTATTTCAGATGCTAATCCTCCTGCTTTATTTATTTATTTATCATCCATGTTACATTCCTAATACGTCTTGAGAGGCCACGTTTCCATGAACAGAACCTTCCCCATGGTTTTCCCATAGTTTTTTTTTTTTTACGTGTTTAATACCACTTCTGGTATACTTGAAACTATTTTGTTAATTTGCTGGCCTATATGTTGTTTTAGCTATTTGATTATAAGTTCTGTGAGTGCAAGGACTTGACCTGTCTTGTTTGCTTGCTGACTAGTATGTTACATGTCTGTATCCTCACTCACCACATAGTAATTGTCAAATAACTATTGGTTCAGTGAGTGCCGTGTATGCTTACCTAAACTTAGCAAAAGTCTAAAGGCAAAGATCCATTGAATTCACTTTCTCTTTGATCAGTTTTGGCAAACTAGCTGTTTATGAAACAGTTTTCTCTTTGTTAGTGCTGTCCTTGCTGTGCACAGTCAGGATTGCCAGTACAGTCTGAAGGATTACTTTCAGTCTCTTCCACATAGGCCCTCTACATCAGCTTCATATTTACTATATTCCTAACCTCAGCTTCTAGAATGATCCACAAAGAGTGCTTGTAAACAGACGGAGGATGAGTAGGATCTGATGCTTCTACTCTCAGAACTTGTGTGGTTGAGAGATAAGTGCTGAATGCTGAATTAGGAGGCGTGACTCTGTACTAGCTTGTGACTTTCAAAATGCCTTTTTCCCCCTCACTGAGTTTTATACACCTCGTGTGCAGACGAACGGCTGGGGCAGGTGCATCTAAGGGCATTTCAGTGCTGGCGTTTGTTGTTGCATGTTTCAGAAACTGTTAGCCTCTCTAATCACCGGTCATTCGTGGATGAGTAAAAATCTGCCCTTTGAATTCAGAATTAGTGACTGTCCTCTGCCTGTTTCCTGACTTTTGATTTCATCTTTCAGAAATTTAAATAGATGAGTTTCATGCTTCTATGGTGTGCATCGAGAACACATTAAGCAAAATTATTAAAGGATGACAGTCAAATTCACGGAGAACTTAAAGTTCGTTTGCAGCATAACAATATGAGAATGTAATGGTATCTTTTCCCACGTAACTGAGATGAAAACTAAGCAGCTGAGTGTGTCGGTTTGCAGCGCCCAGGAACTCAAGCAGTCTGACACTGATGTCACCGTGCTTTCTGCCCACTCCTCTGTGACTTTCAAGTGTCGTGGTCTACTAGTGAAAGACAGCTGGCTTCCGCTTGCCTCTGAAGAGAAAGACCCAGCAAGAATGCTGTGACATAAACATCCAAGACCTTGGCTTATTTTCTTGACTTTCCTCACTGAATAACCAAGCTAAATGGCTTCATGGTTTTAATCAAGTAAATTACCCAGGGCTTTTTCCCACCAGAGGTCTCCAAATATTACCTTCCTAATGTTGATATTTTTCCTCCTTTAGGCTGTTTTTTGCCTAGATTTGAAAAAAGGAAATTATTTTAAATCACATTTTAGATTAATTGAGGGAACATAGCAGAAATGTGACTGTGGAGGA